TCATGAGGTCAGATCATCAAGACCATTCTGGCTAACGTGGTGAAACCCTGTCTCTACTAAAAATACAACATAGTAGCCGGGTGTGGTGGTGCATGCCTGTAGTCCCAGGTACTCGGGAGGCTGAGACAGGAGAATTGCTTGAACCCAGCAGGCGGAGGTTGCAATGAGCCAAGATCATGCCACTGCACTCCAGCCTGGGCAACAGAGCAAGATCCGTCTCAAAACAAAAACAAACACAAACAAAAGAAAGTTCTCCCTTTTCTGTAAAAGAGCATGCCGGTGTGTGTGGCTGGCTGCATGCACATGGTTCATGTGCCTGTTTCCATTTTTACTGCCCAAAGCAATGGATGATTGTGTAGTCAGGAAATCCAGGCCCACCTTCATTTTCTGCTTGGTTGTTCTGTGTCTGGGATGATCCTGTGTTTCATCATTACTCTAGAGCAGGCGTCGACAGACTTCTTACACAAAGGACCAAGTATGTTTGGCCATGAGGGCCACATAGGCTCTGTTAGAATCACTCAACTCTTATTATAGCACAAAAGTAGCCTCAGATACTATGTAAACAAACAGATGTGGCTGTTTTAATAAAACTTTATTTACAAGAGCGGCAGTGTGGTGGCTGGCACCTGCAGGGCCCTGGCTGGTCAGCCCCTGTGCTGGAGTGATACATGCTCCTTCATGTCTTCAACTCATTACTAATTAAAATATGTTCATTATCCTGTTCATTTTATCCTTTTTTCATGTCCAATGAAAGCACTGACTGATTTTAAAAAGACGTTTTTCTAAAAGTCTTTATTTTTTCTGACACAGGGTGTCCCTTTGTTGCCCAAAGTGCAGTGGTGCAATTTTGGCTCCCTGCAACCTCCACCTCCAGGGCTCAAGCAATTCTCTTGCCTCAGCCTCCTTAGTAGCTGGGATTATAGGTGCCTGCTACCACAGGCTGGCTAATTTTTGTATTTTTAGTAGAGATGGGATTTCGCCATATTGGCCAGGCTGGTCTCAAACTCCCAACCTCAGGTGATCTGCCGGCCTTGGCCCCTCAAAGCGTGAGCCACTGCACCTGGCCTAAAATATCTTAAGGCATGCGTGGTCAGGGTAGGTGGGCAGTGGAATGTGTGTGTAAACACGGCTGCCTGAAAGAGCAGTGTGTGCCTTCCTCAGGCCCAGTCAGCTCTGCTCTGTCCCCAGTCTCCTCCTGTGCCTGGCCAACCTGTCCTCCATAGCCAGGGCACCCCACCCAACCCCCCTCCAGGTACCACCTCCCTCCATCCCTACTGCCGGCTCTGGGGTGCAGGTGGCCAGCAGCCCTGTGCTCTTCTTCGTCCCTTCTCTTGCTCTCACTTCAGTCCTGATGCAAAGGACGGGCTAAGTTTCTGCTGACCATTCCCTCCAAAGATTCTGAGTTCATCCGACAGTTTGCAGCCTTTAGAACCTGCCGCTTCTGCCCCCCACTTTCCCTCCCTTAGTTGACTTCACTCCAAGTTCATCACGAGGCTGGAAACGCCGCAGCTTTCTGTGCACCATTTTTCACTCCCTGGAGGACCTCTCTTACAGTCCACAGAGGCCCACGTGAAGTGCTTCCAGCAGCTCCACTGGCCGCTGTCCGCAGGGAGAGCGAGGTTGCTAAGCAACACACAGGCGGCTGCTGCTTTCCACAATGCGGCCTTGAAAAAATAGCTGTGGACATTTTACCACATGATGGAGTCATGAGTGGGGAGTGCGGAAATGCACTGGCAGACATTTGGATATCACCATGTTCTGTCTGAATTTTGCCTTCGGTATGGCTTCCTGGAGAATGTCACGTGGAGACTCAGGGGCTGTGCCTTCCGCGGTGTGCAATGGGCTAACAGTCAGTCCTCATCATTTGCAGATTCTGTATTTGCGAATTTACCTACTCACTGACATATATTTGTGACCCCGAAACTAATGCACTGGTTTCACAGTCATTTTCGGACACGGGTGGAGGGGTGACGATGTTGTGTCGCCGGATGCATGCGTTCCCCGCCCCGTGCAGAGCTCTGCCTTCACTGCCGGCTCTCCTGCCGTGCACGTGTCCTTTTTGCAGTCTCTTTAGCACTGTTTTGTTTGTTGTTGTTGTTTTTGTTTTTTTTTCATATTGTTGTGCTTTCTGATGGTGATTTTGCTGTAAGTGGCCCTAAGAATGGTGCTGATGTCCTATTCAGGCTCCCTAAGCACAAGAAGGCTGGAATGTGCCTTCCAGAGAAGATACACGTTTTAGATAAGCTGCTTTCAGGCATGAGCTGCAGCGCTCATGGGAATCCAGTGTGAACAAATCAAGAATACAGCACACCTAGAAAAAGGAAGAGGAAGGACACAGGCAACCAGGTTGATATCACAGTGGTACAGCTCTTTATCCTGCCTTTGCTGTGTTTTCTTGGGGACTTACACAGGGTCACATGGGGATACAGGGGCCTGTGCCTTCGGCCAGTCCATATGTGGGGCCACTCTGGAAAGTGCTAAGGTAACAGAGTACACGGTGGAGCCACAGAAGAGATGAAAAATAGCAGAATTTGTGGACTCATCAGATGACGAGAGAGTTGAATGTCATCGCCAGCATTGTTGTAAGGCTGGAAGCCAAAGAAATTTACAGCCGTGTTACCCAAGGGCAGGAAGGTATCAAACGCTTCTTGGCCAGTATTTTAAAGAAATACTGAATATAATTCATTATTTTGAAGAAAATATTAAATAGAGCATCTCACTAACAAGGTTATGTATTGACCAATGGAAAAAACTTTTGTCATCAGAGGTTCACAGAAACCTAAACCATCTATTAGGCTGGGGCAAAAGTAATTGAAATGGGCCAGGTGTGGTGGCTCACACCTGTAATTCCAACACTCTGGGAGGCCGAGGAGCGTGGATCACCTGAGGACAGGAGTTCGAGACCAGCCTGACCAACATGGTGAAACCCTGTCTCTACTAAAATACAAAAATGAGCCACGTGTGGTGGTGGGTGCCTATAATCCCAGCTACTTGGGAGGCTGAGGCAGAAGAATCGCCTGAACCCAGGAGGTGAAGGTTGCAGTGAGCCAAGATCGCGCCACTGCACTCCAGCCTGGGCGATAGAGCAAGACTCTGTCTCAGGAAGAAAAAGAAAAGTAACTAAAATGGCAAAAACTGTAATTACTTTTGCACCAAACTTTATCTCCCCTAAGAACAATGGCCCAGTATTTACAAATTCAGTGTTCACAAATATAGAACACAACTACCATGCGTAACAAGAGCTGACTATATATGATCACAGCCTATCTGAACAGGACTCATCCTCCACCTCCCACACTGAAGACAGAGCCCAAGACACATCCAGGTATGGTGTCTCTGCTAAGAATGTGTGCCAGGAATGGGACCTGGCTTCCTCGTCGAGTGCTGGTGTCCATGAATTTCTGCTGGATTAGATGTGTTTTGAAGGGAGTTAAATGTTCACGGCTCCAGCTCCTTCCCCTCTGTACCCTTTACCTCACCACTTTCTCTTTTTTTTTTTTTGAGACAGAGTCTCACTCTATCACTCAGGTTGGAGTGCAGTGGTGTGATCTCGGCTCACTGCAACCTCAGCTCCTGTGTTCAAGTGATTCTCTGCCTCAGCCTCCTGAGTAGCTGGGACTACAGACGTGCGCCACCATGCCTGGCTAATTTTTTGTATTTTTAGTAGAGATGGGGTTTCACCATGCTGGCCAGGCTGGTCTCAAACTCCTGACCTCGTGATCCACCCATCCCCGCCTCCCAAGGTGCTGGGATTACAGGCGTGAGCCACCGGGCCCGGCCAACCTCACCACTTTCATCACTGGTCATTTTGCTTGAAGGGAAGCACTGGGATATTCATAAATTGCTCTGGGACTGAATCATAGTGAGCCCAGCATCTCCAAACTCACACCTTAATTGGTCCCAGATGGGAAGGAAAAGCTATTGCCCTTACCACAGTCTTCCATGCCCGAGGCCACACGTAGGTCATGTGTGAAATGGTCTGCTCTCTGCTGACAGTGGCCTGAGTGTCCCACACTGTCTGCTGAGCCGGCTGGTCCTCTCCAGGGAGCTTTGCAGCGGATGGATGACAAGGCATGGACATGGGGACAAATTCCTCTCCTCTGGCATTGCAGACACAGCCTAGAGATAGGAGCGTGGCTTGGGACATAGGTGACCTCAGCCTTTAGATCAGGGAACACGCCACAGATGCAGGGACATCTGGTGGTAGCTGAGAGTCCAATTGCTGCTGGGGAACGAAGCAGAGGCCTTTAAATGCAAGGCAGGAAAAATGCTGGGACTAGTGTAGGAATAGAAAAGCAGCCATTCCTCCAGGGCAGTTCAAAGACCTAGAAACGCTCCCTGCAAACCCGTGGGCCTCCTTATCGCCACTCAGGGTCCCCGGAGGAGGCCTTTCTACAGGAAGTCTGCTTTCCGTTGCCGGTCGGGTGACCGCCGGGGCCTCTCTCCGTGTTTCTCCCTGATCTTCAGGAATGTGAATGCCTTTTCCTTCGCTGCTACTCGGTGCAAATATGTGAGTTAGAGGGCACTGCCACTGAAGTAGCGGCAGCTTCCTGGCTGAAGGAACTTTGCAGCTATTAGAAACACACAGATCTTCAGTCCAAGTTCATGGCAAGGATTGCCTGTGTGCGGAAATTCCCGGAGCGGGCCGCTGTGCAGTGAGCATGCCGAGTCACATCACAGGCCATTTCTCCTGACCCCTCCTCGCGCTTCTATTCCCAGGCCTCATTATGTGTCATGTCATAGACACACACGCATGGGCACACCCCGTCGCAGCCAGGACGGAGGTGCCAAGGGACATGCTCTGCACGAATTCCATCTTGGAGCTAGAAGCACTTGCTCGGCGCCTGCCAACTACAAATAGCCCCATGCTGGAAAATGATGCTGATTAGCCATTAAAAAAGGGGGGGCCACAAAATGGCCGTGGACAGGCCTGAAGTCCCGCCCTGACAGACGCGGGGAGACACGGGCACTAATGCAGCCTGATTCACTTTGTTTGGCAGAGAGAGCAAGCTCGCCATGCTGCTGCGGGAGTCTCTGGGGAACATGAACTGCCGCACCACCATGATCGCGCACATCTCGGCCGCGGCCGGGAACTACGCCGAGACCCTGTCCACCATCCAGATCGCGTCGAGAGTCTTGAGGATGAAGAAGAAGAAGACAAAGGTAAGGAGCTCGCGGGGGGTGTGGTGGGTGAGAGAGCCTTTGGGGCCCTGCCCCAGGACTCAGTCAGAAGCAGCCAAGTCAACACTGCCAGTCCCTCAGCATCAGGACATGTGGCTTGGTGTCCACCTTGGGGCAGGGAAGCCTTTGGGCTGATGGAAAGTCATGTCCCGTCCCTATACCTGGTGCTGGCCCTGGTCAGCCTAGACCCCTGAGTGGAAGCACTCGGTCCACTCGAGAGAGTGTAAATGGATTGTGACTTTGAGATGAAACACGTGGGAGGGGTGGGAAATCTTCTGTCTGTCTCATGCACTGCCTCGGCCCTCTGCAGATGGAGACTGTGTCCTTCAAGGGACTGGCTCCAAAGACGACCCCGAACTCCCTGCTCACAGGGCCCTCCTCCCCGTCTGCATGTCCAGGAGTCTTTGCCTGGCTGCTGGTGTTGTTCTGGTCATTCAGTGGTTTCTGGATGATTACTGAGTCTGCTAGAAATCACGGGGCACATTTTCTCAGGCAGAGGCAAAGCCAGGACGGTGGTAGTGTGGCAGGTATTGGAGGAAACCGTCATGATCGTGGCCACTCAGAGGCGCGGGCAGCTGCTGACGTGTGGGCCTTTTTTTCCCTTCCACGTTTTGTACCTTTTTTATCTTTCCATAGTGCTTCCTAACCAGTGTTCCAAGGTACAGGCTGCCAGAAGTTGGTGACCCTGGAGGCCTTAGTGGGTCAGGCAGGTCCTGGAGGGTCACCTCCTTTCCCCGGCAGCCTCTGTTTCCCCGTGCCCCGCAGGGATTCTCCTTCACTAATGCAGCGGTGACGCGAGACTGGGTGCGCTGGCGTGGCACCCGAGTGGCCCATATGCAGAGGCCAACCAGGATGGCCATCAGTAGCCTGTGTCTGTCCGGGCCCTCCACCACTTGCCACACAAAGCTGGGCTCCCAGGGAAACTGCCTTGGAAGAGTCACCGCATTAACGGCTCTCTCCCTCACAGTACACGTCCAGCTCCTCTGGGGGCGAGAGCTCCTGTGAAGAAGGCCGCATGCGCAGGCCCACCCAGCTGAGACCCTTCCACAGCAGGGCCACAGGGGACCCAGACTTCCCCATCGCCCACTTGTCCAGCGACCCCGACTACTCCTCCAGCAGCGAGCAGTCCTGTGACACTGTTATCTACATTGGGCCCAACGGCGCAGCCCTGTCAGACAAGGAGCTCACGGACAACGAGGGCCCCCCCGACTTTGTCCCTATCGTGCCAGCCCTGCAGAAGACCCGGGGCGACAGCCGGCCCACAGAGGCAGGAGAGGCTGCGGCCAGCAAGTCAGAAAGGGACTGCCTGAAGTGCAACACATTCGCCGAGCTGCAGGAGAGGCTGGACTGCATCGACGGCAGTGAGGAGCCCAGCAAGTTTCCCTTCGAAGAACTGCCTGCTCAGTTTGCAGCAGAGCCGGCCAGCAGAGCCCTGCCGTTAAGCCAAGCAGCTGGGGCAAACCCACTCTCTGAATCTGATAGGGAAGATAATGGGTCCGAAGGTCAGCTGACCGACAGAGAAGACCCTGAAAACCAGGCCTCCAAGATGCAGAGGAGTCACTCACCCGTGCCCGCCTCAGCACCCGCCCACAGCCCCAGCCCAGCCTCACCCAGGAGCATCCCGGGCAGCAGCCAGCACAGCGCCTCCCCACTCGTGCAGAGCCCCAGCCTGCAGAGCAGCCGGGAGAGCCTGAACTCCTGCGGCTTCATGGAAGGTAAGCCCAGGCCCATGGGCTCCCCCCGGCTGGGCATCGCCAGCCTGTCCAAGACCTCAGAGTACAAGCCACCCAGCTCTCCTTCCCAGAGGTGCAAAGTCTACACCCAGAAGGGGGTCCTGCCGTCTCCCGCCCCCCTGCCTCCGTTGAGCAAGGATTCCAGCATGGTGTGTAGTGAGTCCTTGCTGCAGCCCGAGGTGCGTACACCCCCGGTCGGAATGAGCCCCCAGATTTTGAAAAGGTCCATGTCCACTGGAAGCAAAGGGTTCCCAGAAGCTCCTGTGGACGATGAGCCTGAAGCAGTGACTCCTCCAGATTCCAAGAAGGAGATCCTGAGCACCACAATGGTGACCGTGCAGCAGCCGCTGGAGCTGAATGGTGAGGACGAGCTGGTGTTCACGCTGGTGGAGGAGCTGACCATCAGCGGGGTCCTGGACAGCGGCCGCCCCACCAGCATCATCAGCTTCAACAGTGACTGCTCCGTGCAGGCCCTGGCCTCGGGCTCACGGCCCGTCAGCATCATCAGCAGCATGAGCGAGGACCTGGAGTGCTACTCCGGCATGGCCCCGGTCTCTGAGGTCAGCATCACACAGTTCTTGCCCCTCCCAAAGATCAGCCTGGATGAGAAGGCCCAGGAGGCAGGGAGCAGACGCTCTTCCATCAGCTCCTGGCTGAGTGAGATGAGCGCGGGCAGTGAAGGCGAGCAGTCGTGCCACAGTTTCATAGCCCAGACGTGTTTTGGGCATGGGGAGGCAATGGCGGAACCCGCGGCCTCCGAGTTTGTCAGCGGCATCCAGAACGCGGCTGTGGTGTGCAGAGCAAAGCCCAGTGCCGGCCCCGACAACTTGCTCATCCTGTCTGAGATGGGGGATGACTCTTTCAACAAAGCAACTCCCATCAAAGGCTGCAAAATATCTACCCTGGGCAAGGCCATGGTCACCATCTCCAACACGGCAAATCTCAGCAGCTGCGAGGGGTACATCCCCATGAAGACCAATATCACCGTTTACCCCTGCCTTGCCATGAGCCCCCAGAGCATCCAAGAGCCCGAGGCCGCCACTGCCACCCCCAAAGCAGGCCCCACGTCAGCCCAGTCCCAGGAGAGTAAGGAAAACAGTGCAAAGAAAGAGATGAAGTTTGAGGACCCCTGGCTGAGACGAGAAGAGGAAGTGAAAAAAGAGAACGCTCCTCCCAGTGAAGATGGGATCAGGTGTGAGCGCGCCACGGGTCCCTCGAAGGCCGAGCCCAGGGCAGAGCAGGAGCAGGACAGAAAGCCCAGCCCGGACGACAGGCTCAGCAGCAGCAGCGGGGAGGTCGCCGACAGCTTCAGGAGGGTCGTGGATGGGTGTGAGATGGCCCTGCCTGGTTTGGCCACCCAGAGCCCCGTGCATGCCAACAGAAGTGTCAAGTCCAGCAGCCTTCCTAGGGCATTTCAGAAGGCCAGCCGGCAGGAGGAGCAGGACAGCCTCTTCTATTACTGTGCTGCTGAGACCAACGGGGTGGGCGCAGCCTCGGGCACCCAGTCCTCCAAGGGTACCCTGGAGAGGAAGGTGGCTTCCCCCAAGCACTGTGTCCTGGCTCGGCCCAAAGGGACTCCCCCTCTGCCCCCTGTCCGAAAGTCCAGCCTGGACCAGAAGAACCGGGCCAGCCCCCAGCACAGCGCCAGCAGCAGCGGCACCAGCAGCCCCCTGAACCAGCCAGCCCCCTTCCTGGCGGGCCTCCCAGATGAGCCCAGCGGCAAGATGAAGGACGCCAGCAGCAGCAGCAGCAGCAGCAAGCTCTTCAGTGCCAAGCTGGAGCAGCTGGCCAGCAGGACCAACTCTCTGGGCAGGTCGACAGTCAGCCACTACGAATGCCTCTCCCTGGAGCGGGCCGAGAGCCTGTCCTCCGTGAGCTCCCGGCTGCACGCGGGCAAGGACAGCACCATGCCCCGCGCGGGGAGGACCCTGGGCCGCGGCGCGGGGACCTCGCCCCCCAGCTCCTCGGCCGGGGCCTCGCCCAAGGCCAGCCAGGCCAAGGTCTCCGCCGTGAGCAAACTCCTCCTGGCCAGCCCCAAGGCGCGCAGCCTGTCCGCCTCCGCCACCCGAACCCTCAGCTTCTCCACCAAGTCTCTGCCGCAGTCGGTGGGCCAGAGCCCCGGCGCGCCCGCGGGCGGGAAGCCCCTGTCCTGGTCCACGCAGTCGCTCAGCAGGACCCGCAGCGCAGGCCTGGCCTCCAAGCTGCCCCTGCGCGCCGTCCACGGGCGCATCTCGGAGCTGCTGCAGGGCGGCGCGCGCGGAGCCCCGGCGGGGGAGCGGCCCGAGGACAGGCCCGCGCCGCCGCTGCCGTCGCCCTACAGCAAGATCACGGCCCCGCGGAGGCCGCACCGCTGCAGCAGCGGCCACGGCAGCGACAACAGCAGCGTGCTGAGCGGGGAGCTCCCGCCGGCCATGGGGAAGACGGCCCTGTTCTACCACAGCGGCGGCAGCAGCGGCTACGAGAGCATGATGCGGGACAGCGAGGCCACCGGGAGCGCGTCCTCGGCGCAGGACTCCACCAGCGAGCACAGCGGCTCCGCGGGCGGGCGCTGCCGCAGCCTCAAAACCCCGAAGAAGCGGCCCAGTTCAGGTAGGCGGCGGGCAGGGCCGTGGGCAGGGAGGGCCGTGGGCAGGGAGGGCGCGGGCCGTGGGCGGGGAGGGCACGGGCCGTGGGCGGGAAGGGCCGTGGGCAGGGAGGGCCGTGGGCGGGGAGCGTCGTGGGCAGGCAGGGCCGTGGGCAGGGAGGGCACGGGCCGTGGGCGGGGAGCGTCGTGGGCAGGCAGGGCCGTGGGCAGGGAGGGCACGGGTCGTGGGCGGGGAAGGTCGTGGGCGGGGAGGGCCGTGGACAGGAGGGCACGGGCCGTGGGCAGGGCCGTGGGCGGGCGAGCTGCCCGAACCCTCTGTCACGCTGGTCCATGCCCCGTGGTGACGGGGCGTCCAGTGGGATCCAGGCCTGGCCTTTCCTTTCACGCGGGCTCCTTGGGGACATCGCGTGGATCGTGTCTCTGTGAGAAACTGCCCTTCTGTGCCCTCCTCAGCCTTAAGGCTGGGAATCCCTTGGTGCTCAGCACGGTGGAAAGGCGGGGCGGGGCGCAGATAGCAGCATGACCCTCGCCCACCTCCGTTACCTCACCCCGTGCCCCTCTGCTCGACGACCAAGAGTCCTGTGGACCGTTCGGAGCCTGTGGAGGGATCTGGTGAGGGAGACCACCCTCATGGCCTGGTGGCTACAGAAGCCCCTGGAATGAGGCTGGTGCTGGCCTGTGAGCCTCTGGCGGCCTCTCTCAGGGATGTGGGATCCTGCGGTTTGTCTCATTGGAAGCACAGTGGGTGAGGCCCTTTCTCCACCCCCACCCCAAACATACTTGTGGACAGTCACATATGCACACCTGCCACAGGGCCTGCCCTGCCCCCTATTCCCCCCAACAAACCATGTGCCTGAAATGCACGATTTTGGAGAAAGTCTTTGCCATTTCTCATTTTCTTTATTTTGTTTTTGAGATGGAGTCTTACTCTGTTGCCCAGGCTGGAGTGCAATGGTGTGATCTTATCTCACTGCAACCTCCACCTCCCAAGTTGAAGCGATTCTCCTTAGCCTCACGAGTAGTTGGGATTCCAGGTGTGTGCCACCAAGCCTGGCTAATTTTTGTATTTTTAGTAGAGACGAGGTTTCCCCATGTTGGCCAGGCTGGTCTCGAACTCCTGACCTCAAGTGATCTGCCCGTTTCAGCCTCCCAAAATGCTGGGATTACAGGCATGAGCCACCACGCCCAGGTGGCCTTTGCCATTTTAAGAATCTCCTATCAAAAGGCACATGCTCCAGAATGTGGAAAGCCCATTGACTTGTTAATTGGAGTTTTGGGTGGCACGTGACAGTTAAGTTGTGATGGGCAAGGAGAAGAGGACCCAGGTCAGAGCTGGTGGCCCTGGAAGTCACGGGATAGGTGAATGAAAAGATGGTAAGGGGAGAAAAAGACAGGCAGAGGCAAGAAGTACCAAGAACAATGGAAGCTAGCCACAAGCCCTGGTAGGCAGAGCCCTGCAGTAGGCAGGCGGCGGGGTGGGGGGAGGTTGGTGCCTGCAGCACACTGGGAAGTAAAGGATGGGGTGAGACACAGATGTGGAGCCTCCCTTTGCCACTGCTGCAGCCCACAGGTTTGTTCTGTCAGTCACGGGCCTGCTTTTTCCTGTTCTCCCATCACAGGCCAGCACAAACTCTGGAATGTTCCAACACAAATGTAAGGGCTGTGGCCAAGTGCACATTGTAAACCATTCATCTTCCTAAAATCAAAGAAACCCATCTCCAGGGATCGTGTAGTTAAGCAGATGTGGTTTTGCGATATAGACAGCCCCGTCCACAGAACTTAGCTCTGGGGGTGTGACGCTCTGAGCGTGGTAGGGATCATCGTGGCTGTCAGGACCTTCACGGCTTTATTTCCCAGGTGCGGTATGCTTCAGTCTTTGATAGACTTTGACTCTGTTTCACTTCACCCCTCAGTCTCAGCAACCGACCTTAGCGCAGAACGCCACTGAAGGCAAGTTGAAAAGCCATTCCGTGTAACATAGCAGCTGCTGTGTCTTATGGCCGGCACCCAGGGCATTGAAATGTATTGATAATAGTAAAAATAACAAGCAGGAAAAAATCTGCTGGGCTTCCCAGTACCTGGTTAAAGAACACTTGTTCTTAGCATCTTTGCAGCCCCAGTCCTCAGAGTCCAGATGACGGTGTGGCATTCGCTGCTGGTCACGTGTATCTCCGTGTTACAGAGTGCTTTCATGCACTCCAACTTAGTGCCTTAGTCCACCAATCCATTTCATTATTTTGATGCCTTTCACAGTTGTGGGTTTTTTTTTTCAAGACTTTTCATTTTTTGGTTCGGTGGTTACACTGGAGTAAAGGGGAAGAAAAATGGTGAAAAACCCAACGTGTGAAGTGACTGCTCGGTGGGCAGGCAGCAGGCTCTGCGCGTGTCCTTGCTCTGGGCGAAGTGCTTTCATACATGTGGTCCGCTAGGAGTCTCTGGTTGGGTAAGGCTGTTGGAGAAAAACGGTGTCAAATGAAAAGGCCAGCGTAGGGACCTCACGTGGCGCACGGAGAGCAGGAGGCCTTCGTGACCGACTGCTGTAGGTCCAGCGCTCCGTGATGGATGTGGCAGTGGAGATGCGCTTGGTTCAGGTCAGGTGACCTTGTCTTGCTTATTTATGATTATTATTAAGAGAAATGGTGGCTGTCAGACATGATGAGCATAAATCAAAAGCAGCGTCTTTAAGAGATGCTATAAAGCTCCTCCAAGGAAATCCCTCACTAGGTGGCCAGAGTTTACAATGACGAGAGATGTTTGGAGCTGGAGAGGAGACATCTTTTATCTGAGATGGCTTTTGAGTTGGGAAATTTTAATGCTTTTGTTATTTCCGTAGTAAAAATGAATGAGAATTACTGGGAAAATAACCTTGAGCTCTCCGATTCCGTTGTAGTCCATGCAACAGCAGAAACGACAAGCATGGCGATGGTTTGCTATTTTATTCCCGGAGCTCCATGCTGTTGGGGAGCGCACCGGCTTGGGCTTCTTCCGTCGGCCATGGCAGGGAGCAGCGAATTAAGTTAGAAAGCAGGAGACTTAGAAGCTTGAGCTGTGTGACCTTTTGGGGATGACTACCCTCTCTGAGCTTCAGTTTTCTCGTGCAAGGAAAGGAGAAGATTGGCAGGTAACAGCCATGGTCTCTGCTGCCCACATCATGTGAGACTGTGCAGATAATTCAAATAATACTGATGGTCATGTGATATCTTTTCCTTAAAAGCATCTGTAGTCAGTGGGATTTATTTTCAGTTGTTAAACACTGATCAGGTATCTTCTGTGCTCTTAGAGCTTGGCGATTTGGAAGGCTCAGGTGTGTGGGTGGAGGTGGAGGCAGCCGCCATAGAAGACAAGGCCGCTGTAAGAAGTTTGTCATCTCCTTGGAGAGAAAGGATGAAAAGCGTGGAATAGACAGTGAGCTGAGTGACTGCCCGGTGCTGAGTGGCGTAGTGAAGGCCCAGGTGGAGAAGGCGTTGAGACAAAGCAGGATCCTGCAAGTCACGGGCTGCAGAGAACCTCGGGGTTGAGTTTGGTCATGGAGGGTGCTTGCGTGGGGACAGGCGGCCAGGGTGCAGGCCTTGCAGGCTGAGGCAGGAACGGGAGCACCAGCTCCGGGCAGCAAGAGCCTGGCCTGTGGGCAGCACAGTGAGTAACTCACAGAGGGGATATTCCCAAGTGTAGCAAGAGGCGAGAAAACGTAAACCCAGATGTAGTTACACCTGGAACATCTGCGAACTGCAAGGACAGTGCACATCATTCTATGTTCCACATAGTTCCATGGAACTAGGATAAGAATATATACTATATTATCGTAGCCAGGCATGTAATTCTAACACTGTAGGAGGTGGGTGGATTGCCTGAGCTTGGAGTTCGAGGCCAGCCTGGACAACACAGTGAAACCCCGTCTCTACTAAAATACAAACAATTGGCCAGGTGTGGTGGTATGTGCCTGTAGTCTCAGCAACTTGGGAGGCTGAGGCAGAATTGCTAGAACGTGGAAGGTGGAGGTTGCAGTGTGCTGAGATTATGCCACTTCAGTCTAGCCTGGGTGACAGAGCAAGACTCCATGTCTAAAAGACGAGTAGAATACACCCTATACTATTGTAGCTGGCAGTGGGGCGTCATTATAGGCTCTGGACCAACAAAGTGATGTGGGGAGAGAAACCGTGTTGCTTTTACTGATGGATTTCCATTGCTCCCTCTGCAGTTCCTTGCCAGCCCCTCTATGGTCAGCAACCTGAAACTGTGAATAGTCTAGAGCCCAGAATTAGAGTGAGAGCAGCCAGTCCAGGTGGGGAGTGAATGTCTGTCCTGGCCAGCATGCATGCAGGCTGCTAAGGACGTCCATCGGTGATAGAGCTTATGCTGTAATTGCACCAGCTGAGCCCCCACCCCGAGCCCCCGGTCCTAACCCGCCCACAGCCCTCCCCATCATCCATTATACATGATGAAGATTCTATTTTCGTCCTCTGGTCCCTTGCATTTCACCCTCATCCTGGTGTGTTACTTCCTTGGATTTTTCCCTTGCTTTTCTCTTCTTGGACTGGATGGGGAAGTCTGACAGTCAGGTGAACACCTTGCTCTGAATTAAATGCATTCCTACCACAGGGAGGCTCAGCAGCAGAAAAGTTCTGGAGGGAGCCTCTGCCTGAGGAGAAGCCCCCTCTGGGAAGCCTCGTGGTTCTGGGATCACCCAGCCCTTGCCCTGCCGGGACATGAGCAAGGCCTGTTCTGCACTTCACCCAAGCAGCTTGGTGCCCAGCACGGGGCTGCTGCAGGTTGCTGGTGAGTGCTAGTGGTTGATTCACTGATGGGCTGGTCGCTTGGTTGGCAGCGTAGTCCTAAGAGTTTGCTCATGTTTCTTTCCTGTGTATTTCTCATGACCTGTCCTGCTGGTGGGAAGCGCTTTAAATGTCGTGAGTAGCAGACTGTATCAGCAGTGTCTGATTCTAAACATCACTGTGTCTTCCTTTGTCTTGGTGCTGAGTTGGCACTACTGACTGACGGGCCTGTCTTGTGAGTTGTGATTTGCACCTGTAGTGAACTGGGCTCCCAGGATACCAGGTTCAGTTCACACAGCGCTGCACGAAAACTTGTGACTAACTGCCCCTCACCAAGCCCTGAGGGTACCGTGGCTTGCTCTGCCAGCCCTCTCCTGTTCATTGGCTTCTCAGGCACATCCTGGTTCTGTCTGAATAAATTCAAGCAGCATAGTGGTCACTGGCTTAGTGAAAGCCAGAGGAAGGCAAGCTGCTTGCTGGCAGAGTTCAGATTTACAGAATGTTTCTGAGCATCAACCTGGAGACAGCTGAGAACAGGTTCAGAACGAGAGCCTTTTTGAATATACAGCTGCGGAAAAAGGAGAAAAGCAATTGATCCTCTAAGACACCGAGGAAGCTCCTTAGAGCAGAACTCCAAAGACACCAGGTGACGGTGATGCTGTGAGGTGACACTGTGGTCCTAGGTGCAGGGTTGAGAATCTCAGAGCACCTGGGAGGAAGCCTAGGATCTGTGCTTGCGGCCTGGGGAGCCGCGTCTTTCTCATCCGCAGCGTGGGAGCGTTTGCCTTTTCAACCAAAACGTGACAACAGGCCATGCAGCCAGCGCCACCCTTCCTCATGCAGCCGGCTCCTTGCCGGTCAGTAAAATCACATGCATTGACGCACATTCTCTCTCTCTCTCTCTCCGCTCTGAAATCTCCAGTTCCTTTCAACATGAGTGCTTCGGGCATTTCTGACTCGCCGTCTTCCTAGTGCCCACTCTGAGTCAGAATGCAGGTGAGGGGTGACGGGAGACAGCTATGCAGAGGGGACTTAGAGCAGGAGTTTGGGAATGGCTGGGAGCATGTTCGCCAGGGGCAGTGGAGGCTTCAGCACTCAGCATACCGGTGTTTCCTGACACTCACCCTAAGCAGCAGCATCTGCAGACTCGGGTGAGGACTTCTGTCTGGACTGGGGGACGTGAAGAGTAGAAGGCCCAACATCAGACTTCCCGTGTGGGCTGTCAGCGCCGCAGATGGCACAGTGAGGTGGACTGTGACGGGTCAGTGACCCCTCTTCTGTACGCAGCGGTCGGCCACGCCTGGAAGGGGAGGGGCGACGGAGTGGACTCAGCCTGTTTGTGGGTGAGGTCCTGGTTGGAAGCTTCACTGAAATATCAGTGTTGACTTTCTCAGGTCAAATCTGGTTCATTTCATGCAGCAAAAAGATGTTGGCAGCTATCAGCCTAAGTGTTTTTAACATGCTGCATTTGTACATGCCTGGACTGAATGCCAGGCTGATGAGCCGAAGGGAGCCTGACCCAGCAGCACCAGTAGGAGGCTGGCCCTGGCTGTGTGCTCCGCGGTCAGACAGGCGGCATCCACGTCCAGTGGGGCACCGCGTGACTCTCACCAGAGTGGGGCTCCCCGTCCGCCTTTCTTAGAGCTGATGCTGCCCTGACCCCACTTGCAGCCTGGAAGGAGGGGGTCCTTGGCAGAGACCAGGCTTGGCAGGAAGCTGGGCATCTGCTTGAGAGGTGGAGATGCTGGCGCAGGCAGAAAATAGGAGAACCCTACCTTATATGGGGCCCCAGACCAAGGCCCTCGGGCCAGTCTTTACCCGGCAATGGCGTCTTGGTACCATCACTTCCTGTGCTCTTTGCAGTAATGTGTGGGCACCATCTCCACCCTGACCCATTTCCTCAGCCTGACCACATGGCCCCTGCCCTAGCACTTGGCCTCCGTCATCACCGCCTCAGTGAGGCTCATGTGTACCTCTGGAGGGAGCCTCGGCTGGAGGTGCAGGAACCAAGTATCACTTCCTTCGCGGGATTGAGGCTCCGGTACCCAAATTCAGAATATTATGGCAATCCAAGACAGTTGTTCATTCGTGTGCAGGAAAAAAGTATTCCGAGCCCCCCAAAACCACAACTAACTCGAACTTGGGCACTCACTTCCCGCCTCGAGAGGGAATGGATGTGGTGACGAGGTTCAAGGTTGCTAGATGGCATGGAAAGAAGGCAACGGGGATTAGGATATTTCTGGGAAGCTGCTGTAGCCCAGCGAAGTGTCACTCTCAGTGTTTTCACTTTCTCTACTCCCATCTCACAGGGTGCCCTGGCATGGGTGTTGGCAGGAGATTGAGGGTGGCCCTCATCCGAGGTATTTTCCCGTCAGATCACATCCCATCCCTGGCAGCCAGGCTCCATGACGGCCCCTGTGGTCTCTGCCTCCTGGTATTCCCACCCTGCGTAGTCCCCTCCTGTATTTACCAGAGTTGGTCTCTGTGTCCAATGGGATAAGGCAGAGCGATGGTATGTCACTTTCAAGAGGAAGTCAGACACTGCAGCTTCTGTGCTGGGTGGCCCTCTTGCTTTCTTGGGTACTCCCTCTGGGAGAAGCCAGCTGCCAGGTCCTACACAGTCTGGTGGAGAGGCCAGCATGGCAGTGAACTAAAGCCTCCTGCCATGATGGCATGAGTGAGCTTAGAAACAGAAGCTTCAGCCTCAGTCAACTGCAGCCACAGCTGACAGCCTCCCTGTGACTCCTGAGAGGCCCTGAGCCACAACCACCGGGCAAAAATTGCTCCCAGATTCCCAACCCACAGGACGATGTGAAATACATGTTTGCTGTTTTAGCTGCTGGGTTTGGGGTTCATTTTTTACACAGCAGTAGATAACTAATACACTATCCCCTCCCATGGCTCTCCTCAGCTCCTCCCCTATTTCTCATTCAATCAGATCCTTAGAATAATCATCCCAGAGATGCCTGAGCCCGTCTGAGGGAGCCCAGCTTGGGCTGAAGCAGGAGAGACTCTTCATTACATACTGACTTCAGTTTTAGAGGGGGGATATCTCAACCTTATCCTCGGGGCCAGAGTAGGTGAGGAGGAGGGCCAGTTACCCTCTCTTATGGTCTGAGTATGTTTTGATCAAACCCAGACAAAAGGGTGTAACAGCCACTTCCCAGGTGTTTGCAGCCTAGAGGAGTGAGAGCCACCTGGACTCCTGAGTACTCACCCTGGGGACGCCCAGACGCTCACTGCCTCACTCGTCCCTGTCAGAATCGAACACCTTCTGTGGCTTCACAGCTGTTTCACAGGTTCCTGCCACGTGGTAGACGCTAGAGTTGAGGCACACAGTCAGCTACCTCGATCAGACCAACTTAAAGGAGAAAAACAAAACTGTGAACTATGATCTGGTGTTTCCCATGGTGAATGTCTTAGACAGTAAGGAGACACACTTGCTTTCTTCCAGTGGGTTGGAGTTTCTTAGTTTCGTTAGTTGGGGCCTGCACTTTGCTGTGAGCTAAATGCAACTGTGTATGTGTATATACAAGATAAAGGTCTGGGCTCTAAAAAGTGAAATTTTGGCCGGGCACGGTGGCTCACGCCTGTAATCCCAGCACTTTGAGAAGCTCAGACAAGTGGTTCATTTGAGGTCAAGAGTTCAAGAGCATCCTGGCCAACATGGTGAAACCCTGTCTCTATGAAAAACACAAAAAATTAGCTGGGTATGGTGGTGGGCACGTGTAATCCCAGCCACTTGGGTGGCTGAGGCAGGAGAATCGCTTGAACCCGTAAGGCGGAGGTTGCAGGAAGCCAAGATGCCACCATTGCAGTCTGTCTCAAAAAAAAAAAAAAAAAAATGAAATTCAGGCTAGGTGTAGTGGCTCACACCTGTAATCCCAGCACTTTGGGGGATTAAGGTGGGAGGATCACTTGAAGCCAGGAGTTTGAGACCAGCCTGGGCAATACAGTGAGACCTTGTCTCTACCAAAAAAAAAAAAATGTTCTAAATAGCTGGGTATGGCAGTGTGCACCTGTGGTCACAACTACTTAGGAGGGTGAGACAGGAGAATTGCTTAAGCCCAGAAATTCAAGGCTGCAGTCAGCTGTGTTCGTACCACTGCACTCCAGCCTGGACCACAGAGTAAGACCCTGTCTCAAAAAGAAAAGAAAAAAAAATTCTGATTCACAAAAACTGAGGCCTGCTGAGATGATAGTGCACATGTACAAACTCCAACATTTAAAGGAGATAAAATTTGTTATACTAAAAGAGGAAAAAAAAAAAAAAAAAAAAAAAAACCCTGTCAAAAAAAAAAAAAAAAAAAAAAGATTTACATTCAGAAAGATTAACTCCTCTTTGGGTTTAATCTCCTCCTTAGGTTCTCAGAGACGGAGGCTCATCCCAGCACTGTCCCTGGACACCTCTTCCCCCGTGAGAAAACCCACCAACAGCACAGGCATCCGCTGGGTGGACGGCCCCTTGCGCAGCAGCCAGAGGGGCCTTGGGGAGCCCTTTGAGATTAAAGTCTATGAAATCGATGATGTGGAGCGCCTGCAGCGGCGGCGAGGGGGCACCAGCAAGGTGAGGCAGCCTCCCCCTCCCCACCCCCAAGTGGTAACAAGCCTGAGCAGGTGCCAGGTGGGGCCCTGGGGAAGATGGCTCAGACCCAGCCTTCCCAGCAGGCTTCTGTCCCAGCAACGGGCCTTTGACAGAGGCTTTGGAGAGAGCCCCGTGTTTCTCCTTCTGAAATGTTTTAACTCCACAGCCAGGGAGTGGAGGCTCAAAGATCTTTGAGGTTTCCCATCTTAACCAGCCTTTGTCCATCTTGAAACACCCACCACCTGCTTTCCCGGTTTAAGAATGGTCTGTAATAGTCCTGCCTTGTGAGTTGTCTGAACTGTCTGGTCTGTCGAGGCAGAAATTTGGCTGGGATCACCTAGGCCTCTCGTACGTCTCTAGCCGGTTTCCGTCTACGACACTCTTAAGTGCTCCTTGTGGCATGGGCTGGGTGTGAGCAGAAGGGCCTTTGCTCCTGTCCACCCCACCTCCTCCTCTGTCTGTGTGCTAGGAGGTCCTGTGCTTCAACGCAAAGCTGAAAATCCTGGAGCACCGCCAGCAGAGGATCGCCGAGGTCCGCGCCAAGTACGAGTGGCTGATGAAGGAGCTGGAGACAACTAAGCAGTATCTGATGCTGGATCCCAACAAGTGGCTCAGTGAATGTAAGGCCTGGGTTCCGTCCCATCGTCGTGACTCAGGGCCCACCCGCTCAGCAGGCCTGGAGCGTAGCCCAGGGTGACAGCGACACAGGCCGCGTCTACATCCTCGGTCACAGCTGCAGGAGCGAGCTGATCAGCTCTGCTCCCCTGGGGGTGGGCGGGAGGCGCTGGGGCAGCAGAGGGGTGGTGAATATCGCTCTTACAAGATTATTTCTTACGGGTCTCAGTCCAAGGCACCTGAAAATGAGATTTCTCCCCCTGCACGGAGCAGAAGATCACCCAGACATGAAGGCTGTGTGACACATCTGCTCCTCAGCCACAAAATCACCCTGCACATCTAGCCTGAAATAGACAAGAATTTATAGAGCCCTTCAGAGTATAGTGTGTACAATCCTAGAGAAGCCACATGGAGAACCCAGAAAGCAAGGAACATGTTTATGAGTGAAAACATCATAACACCACCACAGCCACAGTGCTCTTTCCATTGAATGGAAAGCCCAAGATGACCGTAACCATCTTGTAACAATTCAGGACAATTTTGCTGTCTTTGAAAGACAGATTCAATTGTCTCTTATTTATTTGGCCCTGACCATTCCATTTAGCACAAAATAAAACTTCAGTCTGGTCCCAGCTATTGCACTGATACAGGCGGCAGTGCTGGAAGACTCAGTCTGGGGGGTAAAATACAGTCCTGCCATTCAGGTTCCCTCTGCCCCAGCGGGCCTCCTGTGTAATGCCCTTCCCTCTTCCAGTCTTCCTTGGCCAGTGCGGGGGGTCTGCAGGTGGAGGCTGGAAGCCAGAGCAGCTGGTTGAAAGCATATTGGGGTGAAATGGTCCTGGGTGGATGAAAGTGGCAGGAACTGTAGGCCTCCCGGCTGTGCCGGCCACATGAACCTCAGCCTCCCAGCAGCTGCTTCTCTGCAGGAAGGAGGCGGTAGCATTTCCCGCAGTACTCACAGGATTCTTGGGGAAGTCTGTGGAGTATCCTGTAGTCTTCAGTTAGTTACAACACTTGCAGCCGTGAGTACAGCCACACAGACGTGCTTTGGCTGCTGGCTTTCTCACACACTGGCTGGGGACCTTGGGTAGGACACTTAACTCTCTGAGCCTTGATCTTCTTAGCTGTGAAATGGGAACAATGATGGTGACTACAGCACAGGGTGGTTGTGAGGTGTAAGCCAGCTCCTGTTGGTCCTTACTGTGCTGCTTGGCCCAGGATTAGAGTTCAGGACCTGGCAGTAATTATCATCATCATCCCCAAGTTCAACAACATCCACATTCTCAACAGGAGACGCTTCCTGGCCGGCTGCGGCGGCTCTCACCTGTAATCCCAGCCCTTTGGGAGGCCAAGGTGGGCGGATCACTTGAGCCCAGGAGTTCAAGATGATCCTGGCCAACATGGCGAAACCCCATCTCTACCAAAAGTACAAAAATTAGCCAGGCATGGTGGGGGGTGCCTGTAATCCCAGCTACTCAGGACGCTGAGGCAGGAGGATCGCTTGGACCGGGGAGGTGGAGGTTGCAGTGAGCCGAGATCGCGCCTCTGCGTTCCAGCCTGGGGGACAGAGTGAGCCCATCTTAAAAAAGAAGGAGGCATTTCCTTTGTGCCTGCTTTCATGATGCACTGAGTTGGATCTTCCGTTAGAAATTTGAACGAAGACATGAACTGGTCCTCCAAGGCACTGATGGGGAGGGCAGATGGGTGAGGACGTGGGTGTCTGCCCTTGGCATCTGCTTGTTCGTCTCCCTGCTCCAGACACCCCATTCCTTGTTTCAGGAATCCCTGGCCACTTCAGGATCCTACGGGCCTCCTTGCAGTCAGTTCTCCGTCATTTTTGCTGTTTTCATTAACATTTTATTTTTCAAGAACTGTTTATGCCCAAGGCAGAGTTGAAAATTATCTTCCTCTTACAAAGTCATATTTTTTCCCAGGATGGGAGCAAGCTTAAACATCAATACGTGTGTGTTTAGATGCTTCCAGGAAACAGTTGCTTCCTTCTAGTCTTTGTACATGTCAGAAATCAGAGTTTTTGATGCTGAGAAAGAAAATGAACAGAAAGCGACATGAAAGGGGAAAGAGAGATTGTTTCTTTAAGATGAATTGAAAACATTAATGAAAAAAGAATCAATGAGGCTGCATGCTGGCTGTCCCCTGTGGGCGAGAGGCAGGGGACGGGCTTGGAAAGAGTCATTTTTAGTTTTAGCTTTTCGTTCTGGTGCCAGTTTCAAGGTTGTCCTGTAATGGAGCCTGATGTGGCCACAGAATGATGGCTCATTTGCTTTTTTGTTTTGGTTTTTAAATATTAAACTGGTATTCAGGGCCCTCAGTCTCTTTCCCACTCTAGTGTTGATTAACCGTGTCACCTCATGAGCCACGTCACTGTCCAGAGCTCAGGGACCTCATCTGCAAAAAGAAGACAGCTTCCACTCTCATCCCACGGCTTCCATAATGCGTCACAGATTTCAAATCAAGTTCATGCTCATTATCTCATTTTTATTTTCTTCTTCACAGCAACTCAAGGCAGGCAGGTAGGAACGACCACTCAAGTCACTCTGAAGGACACTGTGCCGGCCTCAAAGCTAGCCCCTGGCGTTGGGTTCCAGGGCCATCCCATCACCTTTGGCTGCTGTCCTTGCCTTCCCTCCTCATACTGGGACCCTGCGCCAGGCAGCCCAGCCCTCTGCCCAGCCACCTCTGGACAAAGTAGGGGACGTGAGGCCAGAAGGGGTGATCCCAGATACTTGCTCTTCAGGCTTTGAAGGGCAGACTTTTCACTCTGTGCAGGCCTGAACGTCAGGAAAGACATCGGGTTAGAATCCAGAATCATCCTTTCATAGGAGGCGGCAGAGGTCTAAATGTCACTCAAGGGAGGGACTCTCGCCACCTCAGCTTGAAGAAGTATTTACTTGATGGCTGATAGTGCTGCAGAGTTCTCAAACCCTGGGATGGAGACGGCTGGAGGTGGGGAGCTAGAAATTCACCTTATTGCTCAGTATAATCTCAAAAACATTAAGGATTTAAACACTGGTAGAGGGTCCCATTCCATCCAAAAGAGGCTAAGGATCGGGCAGGAGGGAACGCTGCAGGTGCCTGAGGCAGGCACGTCAGACGCAAGGGGTGGACTGGGGGGTGGCAGCTGCGGCTGAGCCGTCGGGAGGTGCCTCTCGCCCCATCTGCTCTGCTCTCCATCAGGCCCTTTCTCTTCTGCAGTTGACCTGGAGCAGGTTTGGGAGCTGGATTCCCTGGAGTACCTGGAGGCACTGGAGTGCGTGACAGAGCGCCTGGAGAGCCGCGTCAACTTCTGCAAGGCCCACCTCATGATGGTCACCTGCTTCGACGTCACCTCCAGGCGCCGGTAGAGAGCCAGACGCTTGTCCTAGCGGCCCCCCTGCTCCCTGGGACTTCAGAGATGTCGCACGCCCCTCGGCCCTCCGTGCCGGAGCATCAGAGACAATGAATGAGGATGAAGGTTGGTGGGAAGTCTGGAGTGAGTTGAGCGGAAGGCGAGTTTTCTTTTGTTTTCTGTAGGAAGGGTGCACATGCCAAACCCCCATGGAAGGAGAAGAAAGTGGGAAGCCCGAGGGATGTCCACGCCCTGTGAGACTGAAATAGCACTTTGAGGACCTTTACAGACCTTGTTTGTACATAAGAACTGCGAGCGAAAGAGACCTCACTCTTCTCTTGCGTTCGTGAGAAAGGAGTGGGGTGGACGTGGGATTGCTGGGGAACGTGAACACAAAACAACAAAGACCCAGAGGGACGGATGAAGTGCCTTGCAAATCTTTATTATCCAAACGCTTATGTTCATACTTTCTTGTGTACAGATGGTGCTAGTCAAGATGAAAACAACAAAACAAAACATTTTTGAAACATATTTACAGCCCGTTTTCTCTTGGTGTTTTATCCTATTTCTGACTTCCTGTTTCTAAGTAAGTTGTGTTTGTAGAGCTATTTCCTAATCAATCAGTATTGCTTATGAATAAATGTTAACTGTCCTCTATGGTTATTCTGGTAAGGCCACTCAGAACATGGAGACTTCCTTGGCACGAGCCAGTGTGTGCGCTTCCGAAGCAGGTTCGCAGCAGCAGGTGACCTTGATGTCACATCCCACAAGCAGCATGGTCAGGGCAGACCCAGAGGGTTGACGCGGGGCAGCCGCGGTAGAAAACAGGAGAGGAGACGGGCCTGCAGCACTGTGGAAGAGGAGTCCTTTGCCACCTGGGGCCTCCCTGCCCTTGGAGGTCCCCCCTTTGCTCCTCACACACATGGTTGCACAGATCCACAGTTTCTATGGCCCGCAAAATTCATACTCATTTTTATTCCAAAGACTTGAAGGAAAGCTTGAACCAATTCAACAGAGCCATATTTCTTTCTTATTTTCTGGTGTTGTGAATTTATTAAAGTGGGTTTTCCCAGCTGAGAGACCTTGTCAGGTGCGTATACTCAGAGACTCCAACTGTATTCAATTAGAACAAGGATTCTTGAGACTGTAGGACTTGTCTGTTGTCCAGAGTACCCGGATTTCGGCTCTCCTGTGTCCCAAAGCCTCTATACCAAGGGACAGGCTTGTCCTCTCGGCCTTTGCCTCTACCCAAAGGCAGAGAGAGCGCTTCCCCTCCATAACCAACTCGCGCAGCCCTCGAAAGGCAGAACCTAGTTGAGTGACTGTGGGTATCCAGGGCTTGGCTCCCAACAGCTCAGGACCTCAAATTCACATGTTCCTCCCTCTAACAATTCCCTTAGGAATTATTATACCCATTGTAGTGATGGACACCTGGGGTACAGAGTGGTGGAGGGATTCGCCTGATGAGAGCTGTGGTGCTGGGAGTGTGGCCCAGAATCCAAGAGTCCCTGCAGCCTTCACCGGTGGGACGGTGCTTAGGGGTTTGCAGAGTATGGTCCCCTTTCGCCCTCAAATGCAGCATATCTTCATGAGCCTATTTGCAAGCTAGGCTGTCTTCGCTAATCAACAACTCAGCCCTAGCCACTCCCCAAAGGGAAAAGAACCCACTGCATTTCCTGGTCAGTGTGTCTCTGGACACTGCAGCCCACACAGCGGGCTAAACAGCAGCACGTCTGAGCTGCTCGGTAAATGGGGACTGAAGCCCCGTGAGCTTCACACGACCTGATCCTTTGTGACCAGAGCAGGGTTCAGGTAGCCCTATTGGCTCCTGTGCTTTGAAGCCAGCTCCCTGGATCATGAGTCTGGCTTTGCACTTCCGTAAGCGTCTGCTCCTATGTGAACAGGAGACAGGCCCAAATGTGCTAGTGGAACAGGCTGGAAGACGGTGAGAGGCTGCCCTGGAATGGCTCCTTCTCCCCTCTGCGTAGCTCCCAAGTCTGACAAGTTTATTGCCCTGGGAAGCAGAACCTCCCTAAGCTCCTACCCCTCCCCCCGTTCTGCAGGACAGTCCTGTGCTCTGGGCTCGCCTCCAGCCTCACAGCACTGTGTAAGGGAGCTTCCTTCACAGAAGTACCCTTGGGGCTTCTGGGCCAGAAGGGAAGCTGCTCCTTTGTTTCCATTGGGCATCTCCTGGTTGCTGGTTTCAAACATGTACTTCATGAAAAGCCTTTAATTGGAGCTTTTCAAAGGTGCATATTCTGTTTTTGTTGGAAACAAACTCATCTGATTAGTCGTCAGGAGGCTTGGCGTTCGCCCTGCCACATTTTCCCGAGGCTGCCATGCTGCCCTGACTCTCGCGGGCCAAGGACAGGGCCTGGTGCCCTTCCTGGACGGAAACCAGAGGGGTCCTTCCTGGGGGAGTGGCGTTCGGCTTGCCTCCTGCCTACGTCTGCTTTTATCCATTTGTAGCAACTCTATGCTATAACAAAAGGTGAAACCAAGAGTTCTCTTACCAAGATGCAGGTCACAGAACCCCTCGCAGGATCCCCAGGCCGTGTAACAGAGAACACGCCACATTGATGTCCGTTCTCTCTCTCTCCTTCTCCTTTTTTTGACCTAAATAAGCTGCAGACATCTTAATTTACCAATATTGAGAAACCGCGTGAAGAAATCATGCATTTTACTTTACGATGGGCTTGTTCCTATCTCTGCCCATACATTGACTACAGTGAAGATGGAGCAAGGAGTTTGGACCAACCATTCTGAAGCATCCCAACAGCTGAAGGATGCCTTAGACAGTGACCAGAAGTGAGAGAGCTCCAGGTCTCCTTTCGGTTTTGGTGATGGGTAACCCAAAGGCAAGGGGAACGTCAAAGAGCCCATTTCTAAAATTACCCACAAATGAAGGGACTAGAAAAAAAACGCTGACTTGAAATTAACATTTAGATGCACAGGTCTTATTTCCTTGTCTACAACCTGTCCTCCTTACCCCTGCTCCTAATACATGAGTGTGAGGCAGTAGCTCTACTTAGCAGCAGAGCAAAACTAAGATCTCACGGAGCAAAACTAAGATCACACGGCGCAAAGCTAAGATCTCACGGAGCAAAACTAAGATCTCACGGAGCAAAACTATAAGATCTCACGGAGCAAAACAAAGATCTCACAGAGGGCAATGGTGATATCGTTTCCCTGGGAGTAAGTCCGCATTGCATTTCATGATGGGGCTGCCTGCTGCCAGGGAGTGGTGGTGTCCTTTATCATGGGCTTACAGGCCCCAGCTAAGAGCTGCAAACTTTGATCTTCTTGTCCTTGAACTCCCCTTGACATCATGAGGAAGCTGTCTCTAACTTCCATCTCTTCCGGATTTGAAATCAGAACACCCTACCTGGCGTTTAATTGCCAACTGCCATCCTTAACATGGGGGAAGTGTGAAGATGCAAATGCAGAGATGTGTCCTGTCATGACGAAGGTGGGAATCACACCAGGAGCCCTGAGCCTGAGAAGGGCTCCTCGCGTGAGAAGCTGGGATAAAAAGCCATGCGTGGCAGCATGGGGAATTCCGCAGGCAGGAACTCAGCTGGTTTGTTGCAAATTAGCCTTAAACTTGAAGTCAAATACATTCTTATAAGGCAGAGTGACTTCAGTCCGGCCGCATCTACCATCCAGGGTGGAGGTTCAGAACATGTTACACACACCTACAAAGCTCGTGCCTGCTGCTCAGAGTTCTGTTTGTGTTGACAAAAAATGCAGTTGTGCCCACCTGGGTGTGTGTCTCATGTCCCTGTACCGCAGCCACCTTCTGTCGACAGAAAGTAAGGCTGACGGGTCTGCACATTTGTTCAATGCAAGCTCAGCCACCTAGACCAGTGGCCACTGCTGATTATAGTGGGTGTTTTTAGGTTTCTTATTCCACAAAGGATTTTAGACTGTAAAACCAATGACTAAAGATGAGTTGATTTCCAAACTAAAAACAGAAGGATTCCCGCCTTTACTCACTGTCCTTTCCTGCTGGACTCATAAGGCATTACTGGAGCTCAGACACAAAAAGTTCCTCGCTTCTGATGACAGTATGTCTTAAACCCTGAGACCTTGCCAGTGAGAAAGAGGTTGAAAGTCCTGTTTGCTATTAGTTGAGGCTAAGCTGTCTGCTGCCACTGTCCCTGGGCCTCCAGGCTGCTGCCAGGGTGTGTGGCCCAGCTGTCCCCTCACTGAGGGACACTCTTCAATGCCACCATATGAGAGTCTTCTGGGTGGGGTGGAAAGGCAGCCCACTTTTCTCTGCGCCAAATGAAACAGAGCTGGGCGTTCAGTGTGACAGATGCATGTAAATGGGTCTCAAATTTGGGGGGCTAGGGGAACAGGTGGTAGGAATGCAGTGTTTCTTTGGATTCTAATATCTCCTTTTTCCATCTCCAGAAAGTATCTGTCAACACTGGTGGGTAACAACTCATAAAGTATATCACTTAGCAGTCTTCCTGACAAAGGGACACATTTTAAAATTACAGCCTGTTCATGATTTCCATAATAACGCAAGCATAATTCCAATCCAGGAGAAGTGACTGCATCAAAAATGTTTTTTCCTAAAAATTCCTAGAAGCTAATTTATCCCTCCCTAAACAAACACATTCTGCTTTTGGAGGCCCTACCCAGAACCTGCAGTGATGTCATAATATTGGACATAGTGGGGCACGGGCAGTATCGAGCCTTCACTGATACAATCCGTGTTCTCTAAACACAGTGGTTCCCAGTGTCCACATGTGTGGAGGCGTGTGCTGAAATGTCACACACATCTATGTCATGCACACACAGCAATTACCTTCAGCACTGACAAAGCTTCGCCAAGCTGCTAACAGCCCACATTGTCATAGTCCATTTCTGAAGACGTTATAATTTATGTATAAACACAGGATGCTGTCCTACAGCATTGCTTGTGTTCTTTGTTTATACGTCAAGGTTGGAAATGCTACCCAAGAGCTATGCGTTGAAGTGGAGGTTTGCTGGATCTGTCTGTGCTATCTTGTTCTACATTTTTCTCACTCTAGCAAAGTCTGTTCATGGAGACATGGGCTAGGGGATAGGGAAGGACAGATAAATCAAGAGAATAGGGATTAGGGCCCAATCTTCAGTGTACAGGGCTGAGTTCAAAATCTAAGCTGTTTCTGTGGTAAGTAGCTGGATAGGAAAGATCCCTTCGTTCTGACTTTGATGAGAATGGGCTTGGAAATCCACTCCCACAGGCTTGCATGGAAGAGGATCCAACCTCTTCCTCCTGGTTCAACATTAAATTTCTGAGGAAAGTGCTGACAGTATTAGTTCCCTACATTTACCCACGACTCCCGTCCCGCCCATGGTGCTGCTGAAGGGGGTTTGGGAAAGCAACCAGAGTTCCTTAGCTTGGATATATATAGTACCTGTGTTGTTTTTTTTTCTGGAAAAACCAAAGCACTGTAGTGAGTCTTACAAACTTAAGGCATCCTGTCCCCTCCTGGATTCCTGAGTGTCAAGGGTCAGAAGTCTTATTTGAGAGGTGGCTGAACTTAGGAGCAAAAGCCTTGAGCTAGGAACAAGGAGACTGAGTCACCAAGCTGGTTCTGTCACTAGCTCTGCCACCTGGGGCGAGTCTCTTCACTTTGCTGGGCCTCGGGTTCCCAAGTGGAAGACGG